ACTGTACTGTTCAGAATACAGGTTAAGAAACCATGGAAATCTGATTTTTATGAATTTTTAAATTTCTATTCATCTGAATATGCCTCATTTTACTTCAATACATGCTGAGTTAGATTTATGGGAACTATTTTTGAAAAACCAGTCGAATATTCCTTTAACTGTTGCTCGTATTTTAAGGGCCATTGACATAAGAAGTTTTCCAAATATAAGAAAACCAATAATTTATATATTAGGAACAATTCCAATAACAACTGGTGATTGTGAAAAAAGTATTTCAGTTATATATATGAATACAGTTATATATATATATATATATATATATATATATATATATATATATATATATATATATATATATATATATATATATATATATATATATATATATATATATATATATATATATATATATATATATATACATATATATATATATATGTATATATACATATATATACATATATATATATATATAAATATATATATATATATATATATATGTATATATATATATATATATATATATATATATATATATATATATATATATATATATATATATATATATATATATATATATATATATATATATATATATATATATATATATATATATATATATATATATATATATATATATATAAAGAGAGAGAGAGAGAGAGAGAGAGAGAGAAAGGAAGTGGAAGAGAGAGACTGTTAGCCTATATTTATTTTATATTAATTGGTCTTCAATAAAAATATATAACAAAAATTAATAAATAAATTAAAAAAATATTCTTATCAAGAAAAGAAAAGAATCCAAAAATGGAGGGTTAATACTTTACATAAACTGCTATCAAGAAAAGGATAGAATCTAGAAATGAAGGGCTAATCTTTATGATTATAATATTAATTAATTGACTTGATATTACTTTACATTAATAAATAACCTAATACTAATTTACATTACGAGCTTATCAAGAAAAGGTAAAAATCCAGAAATGGAGGGCTAACCTTAGGCAACATTACTTCACATTACGTGCCTTTCAAGAAAAGGAAAGAATCCAGAAATGGAGAGCTAACCTTTGAAAAAATGATAGTACACAGATGAAGTGCCAAGTCCTACGGCTTACCTTCTTGTTGGTGCACTTTGTTAAGTAAATTAGACTTACAATTACATGTCTAATTTATGAACGAAATAACCAAGGCAATATTTGCGAAAATTTCTATAAAAAATAGATACTACAAAAGCAATATAAAACAAATTTAGCTATTATTTAATGACATAAAGAGCAGCACCATTCCTAAAAAAAAGCCGTCCGGGGCATGTCCGCTCCACCCTTGCTACGCCTTTTTCTGTCCCTCCACTCTTAAAATTGACTATACTTAAACCCTAGAGATGTTGAGGAAAGGGGGGCATTCTATTAAAAAAAATTTAATCACCCTTTTAAAATGCTAGATTCGCCCCTGTATATTATATATACATACTTAAGTATATATATATATATATATATATATATATATATATATATATATATATATATATATATATATATATATATATATATATATATATATATATATATATATATATTGTGTAGATATATATACATACATATATATATATATATATATTTATAAATCTATCATTGATTGCCTCTTTTAAGTGGCTCATTTATTTGTACAGAGCTACCGGTAATATTACATGCTACAAATTTTGCACAATATATTGTGAGATTGTGAGGAGAATGGTCTTGCCTTTTGATTTCAAATGTTTCCATGAAAACTACACAGCAAACTCAGTTGTTTAAAAACAATGATGTATTATGCCAATTTTTGTGCAGTCAAGAGGCGTTCAAATTCTCAAAAATCAAAATCTCAACTCCCAGAGGGAGTTAATGATTTGCTTCAGGCTCCAACTGTTGATTGGCCAAAATATGATTTCTTATTTCATGCATGTTTTACCAAATGCTGATGTATTTTAAATTTCAAAGTTTTCTTGAACTATTTTTTGTTTTATTATTAATTACCTAAACCTAATTACGTTAACATTTAAAACTAAAACCGTTTAAAACTAATTAGTAGTTAAAATTAATAAGTAATTAAAATTACCCGTTAAAAGTCTGATTAAAAATTTATTTAAAATCTATTTACTTCTGTGTAACTAAGGAAAATATTTGATATCATCACTTTTAAAAGAAGCGCTGAGCTCATATTAGTACTAATGCTAAATTTAGTAAATAAAAAACTAATATTTAATTAGTAAATAATTTTGCCCATTTAGAGTGATTTCTGGCAGACTGAGATGGGAAACATGATGATGAGATAGATCCCTGAATAAACTAAAAATTTTACAAAAATTAGCAGGAATACTATTAGAACAAATAAAATGTTAAAACATAGGGAAAATAAGAAAATTTTAGAATAGACATTTGATGCAACCTAATATATAATATACTTTATTGTTGAGAACTGCTGAAAAAACAAACAAAAAAACTAGATTATACACAAATAGAATAAAAAATAAAGAACCCTAATATATATTATTATATATAATATATATTAAACACTAATTATGTTGTGAAGAAATCTGAAAATAAAGAAGATAGTTAAGATCCACAGACTTCTAAAACTGCTAGTCCAATGATACAAGAAAGCATGACAAGAAAAGAATAACAACTAATATTTAAAAATATTTTTGAGCGGGTAGTAACTGAGTAAAACATAAAACCACTGTTAATGTAACTGTGGTTATGCTTTTATTCAAACTCTGTTTAAAATACATTTTTTTACACTCTTTAAAATTGACAGATACTTATGTTGAGAGCAGATACTTATGTTGAAACAAATTGCACATAAGTATTTAAGAAAAAAAAACAAGTATTTAATAATAAAAAAAATAATCAGAGAAAACCACATGAAAGATTGTTGTTCTTCATAGGAATACGAATGATGTACGAATGATGTATGGGAAATATAATTAACTAACTGATGTCATTATTATATTATTTAAATAGTTTTTATATTTTACGCTTTTTAATGTCTTTTTTGACGATGTGACAAAGAATGGTGGTTGGCTGCAAGAGCAAGTCCAACTATGTTTACAATGCGTTTTTGCATCTTGTCTAATAGAAAAAGGGCATCATTAGAAGATTCGCCCCAGATATGGCAACAGTATTCCATACAAAGACGGATTTGAGATATATAGAGATAAAGGAAAGAATCTGGAGTAAGAAAATGTCACACACAATAAAGAGAAGAAGCATTAGCAGATGCTAATTTTGCAATGGAATTGATATGCAGTTTCCTAGAAAGAACAGAAGTAAGAGTTAATCTTAGAAGATGAAGGGTAGATGACTCGTCAAGTATATCACCATTCAAAAATATAAAAAGATCTAAATTATTGCGATAACAATTGGCTGAAAAAATTGTGTTTTATCTGAATTGAAGTTCACCAGCCAATGTGAGCCCCATGCTGTAGCAAAAGTGAGAACCACTGGCGTCTTTAAAGGATTTTTATGAAGAGCAAAACAAATCAGCTCTCAAAAATATCTCTCACAAGAAATTGATTTCCTCATAAACACATTTTTTGAAAACGGCTATATCAAAAGTAATCTTATTAAAATAACCAAAAACTATTTAGACCACATTTCAAAAAATAATACATACATACATACATACATACATACATACATACATACATACATACATACATACATACATACATACATACATACATACATACATACATACATACATACATACATACATACATACATACATACATACATACATACATACATACATACATACATACATACATACATACATACATACATACATACATACATACATACATACATACATACATACATACATACATACATACATACATACATACATACATACATACATACATACATACATACATACATACATACATACATACATACATACATACATACATACATACATACATACATACATACATACATACATACATACATACATACATACATACATACATACATACATACATACATACATACATACATACATACTATATATATATATATATATATATATATATATATATATATATATATATATATATATATATATATATATATATATATATATATATATATATTGGTGAGACTATAAAGAAAATCATTTCAAGAAGTGCAAAATACCGAAGAGCCTGTAAAAATCAAAAATGGTTGAGTTCAGGAGCCACAGAGCATTCTAGAACATTCTGTGGTAACTTTAATTAGCTAAATCCTAAGACCTTGGCAGTTGTTCCAGAATACAGGAAAGTTAGAGAATTCCTGGAGATTAACGAAGCAAGTTTTTGATATGAGATAGGTATAGGGCAAGGTATTCTAAATTGAGATCATGGGGATAAGGTAAAAACAAAAAGTTGGGGACCCATTATGTCAAAAATTTAACTGACATCATTATTAAATTATTTAATTGGTTTTTATATTTTACGCTTTTCATGTCTTCTTTTAAGACAGTTTGTTTTATGTTATTTTATAACATTTTATTTTTACCTGATGATGCTGATCACAATAGGTCAGTGAAATATTGTTAATATATTATTATATCAAACTATATTTAAAATAGTTATACGCTGCCTTTTTTATTGAAATCAACTTTCACATTTATAAGCATATTGTATAACAAAAATTTAAAGAATAATTCATAAAACAGTTATAATCAGGACCGTCCCGAGGAGAGGGCATAGGGGGTGTCTAGCCCCCCAATGAATTTTATCAGTTGGCAAATGGGAACTGGAGTCGGCAAAATTGGACCTCTATAGTAGTCTGCAAATGTTGGAAAACTAGGACTTTTTTTTTTTTTAGCTAAGTTAGTAAGCACAAAAAAAATTATTTTAGCTTTAGTCGGCAAAAAACAGACACTTCACCCCCCCTACCTTTAAAATCTCTTTGGGATGTCCCTGGTTATAATTTAAATATTATTAAAAACTTTAAGAAATCAAATATACAGAACCTCCTTACTGAAAAGTAGATGGAAAAATTTCATTGCATGGGTGATATATTGCAGAACTACTGTATGATTTGTCGCATCTGTTGCATACATTATATGCTGCAGGACCAGGATTTTCTGACTTTGCAACTGGCAAACATCTTTGTACAGTCGAATTAAATGGAATTTTTACTGAGCGAGATTTTGCATTTGCAAGCTCCTCACTAATATTATATGAGCCTAAAAAATTACACATTTATAAATATTCGAATTACTACATCTTGCTAAAAATTATAACTAAAAACCACACCTGGAGCTGGGATATCCTTATTAGTACTTCCATTATTCAAATCACGTTTTGCCCTTAAAAATAAACAACCATGAATTTTTTTTTGTTGATTTTCCCATTATTATAATAAAAATAATAAAAAACAATAATAGTATACAACTCTTCTATTTCAGCAACCATCTAATGTTTAAGAATAAACTAGAACTAATTCACCTGGATGCATATTCAAGAGATTAAAAATAAAGAAATCAATATTTTAATATTAGTACATCTTAAAAAAAATAATATTAGTTATTAATTACCTGAATAATAATCTAATATTAGTAGACATTAGTATAATATAATTAATATAGTATTTTATAAGTATACCTTATTTTTAAGTCAGATCAGGCATATGGTCATCATGATTACCCTATTACTGGTAACAGATATATATATATATATATATATATATATATATATATATATATATATATATATATATATATATATATATATATATACACATATATATCTTAGAGGTCTTTTACACAGTTGAAGTTGTCTTAGTTACTGTGTTAGCTAACCTTAAATATACTACATATTTATGTTTATTTCTGTCTGAACCTCTTGTGTTATGTTAGCTCACACATAAGTTACTATATATTATGTTTGTGTCTAAATTTTATGTTGTGCCTAAACCTCTTATTCAGTTTGAGCTCAGTTACCAACTAGTGATTTTAACTATAAACTTTGGGCTCACCTTAAAGAGTACTCATGATTCTTAAATAAAACAAAATAATTTTTAAATTACAAAAAAAATTTTAATTGCAAAAAAATATCTAAAGAATAACTGCAATACTTTAAATTTTGATTGGCTTGCAAATGGGTAAAGAAGCAGTGTCAGAGAGCATCAAATGACAAATTATTAGACTGGTCAAACCAAAGAATCATAACAACATTAAAATTAGTAAACTTATGGGTGTTTCTGAATTTTGCTTGCATAAACAGTGAAAACCTGGGAGCTAACAATGTTCTGGAAGACTACTGAAGCTTAGTGATTGTGACAAAAGTAGCATATTCAGAACCAGTAAAAAAAATCCTTTTTCTAAAAAATCCAAAAAAAGGTATTGGGTATTACATTGCAATAAGAAAGCCTGTCCTACCAATCATGAGCCGACGCAAAAGATGAAAATGGCACACAGAACATTTGCTTTAGGCAGTTTAAGATTGGGCAAAAGTGATTTCGAGGGATGAATCAAGTTTTCAGGTTGTGAACCTGCAAAGGAAGAATATATATTAAAAGATTTTCAACTGAGAAATATTGCAAGCACTGTTTTCAAGCAAGATGACAAGGTTGTAGAGGCTCAATAGGCATATGGGGATGTTTTTCCCACAAAGGCCTTGGTTTTTGTGAGCTGTATAATGGCTGTATCAACCAATATATCTACAAAAACATACTTTAAACACGTTTGATTTTATTGACAAGGCATTTGTACAGCAGAAGCAAGCAATACATCTTCCAGCAAGACAGAGCTCCAGCACACACAACACATAGTATAACAAACTGGTTTACCACAAAGAAGATCAATTTGTTGTCTTGGTACCCTAGATCACCAGATATCAACCTAATAGAAAATATTTGGTCATGAATTGACACTCATTGGTAAACCATCAAATTTAATCAACTGAGCATTTGATGCAATTTCTGAAAAAGTACTGGTTAAAAGTGTTACATAAAATGTGCATGAAGTTGGTCAAATTAATGCAGAGACAAGTTCTTCTTTGCTATCAAGCTGAAGGAGAGCACTTCAAATATTAAATTTGTATTTTTTTAATTTTTTGTGCATAGCTGTAAGGTGTTTCCTAATGCTTTTCCAAAATATTCCCATCAATGTTTTAAAGTATTGCTTACAGGAAATAACTTTTTTTAACTACTCCAGGTCAGATCAGAGTCAAAATCATCAAGATTATACTGCTACTGGTATTATGTAACCCAGTACTACCTGCTCCATGCCCTGCTGCCTTTTGGGGTTTGCTATTTTTAGACAAAGGCTACAAGAAATAGACTCCAACTTAAAACTCTCCTGCCTTGGGGCTCTTGGTTAAGTTAAAGCCAAAGATTGTCTCGATAAAAAATTGGTTGAGTAAAGGCTAGAGACAGCGTCTTAATAAAAAGACTCAGAATAGTTCTGTTGACCAGCCTCAAACCCCTTGTTTATCTGTTAGTCTGGCATAGATGTAAACCTGTGTTACAATGTTTTCTGTCTAGGATGATGAATGCTGGATACTCTTGACTCTACTCATAGATATTTGCTTGTGCCTCTTTGATAGTGGCTATGAAATTGTTCCTGTTATCTTCTAATATAGGTACAGCTCTAAAACTCTTTTAGAAGCTTGATTCTGAGGCCAGCTGGTAGTTAAGGTTTCATAAACTTTGTGGTAGTTCACAGAGCGGCTGATTCCATCAACGGCTGTAAAATATCAAAGAATTAGCATTACCATGTCGTGCATGAATGGTGTCTCTGTTAATGCTTTTGATGTGCATTGTTGAGGCAACATAAGGAGCACTAAGTTATAACCTTGGGTTAATTAGTAGGACAGAGACAACTACTTAATTTCTTGGGATGCTGTGCTTTATTTATGAATGAGTCAAGTTGTCTTTAAACTTAAATCATAGCCAAAAGTAGACAATTATTATTAATATTAAATATTAAACATAGAAAACCATTCCCACAACCTAACTGTTTTAATTTTTCTATCACAAATTTTAGTGGTTTTCAAAGCACCTTTCCATCAGTTTAATCTTACTTCTTGAAAAATTCACCAGCCTAATTTAGATTCGGATGTTTATTTTTCAGATTTCAGTATTGATGAGTACTATCATTTGATTTGTATAGACTCCGATAGTCAAATGCTTGGCTTAAGGGTATACTTAATCAAATTATTAATTTTTATAGAGATTTGGGTTTGAATTTCGTCAAGAAATCAGGTTTAAATACTCTGACCATGAAGATGTGCTTTCGCTTAGCATATCTTTACTCACCTCTTATTTGCCTCTTCTTAGATAATCTTTTACTACTGACCTCTCATGGAAACCATATATACAATGAATTACAAAATTAGCATCTTTTAAGTTGTTTCTCTCTATCGTGCTTGCCATTACTTTACTCCTAATTCCATTCTCTACCTCTGCAAATCTCTTATTGGTTCACGTATGGAATACTGTTGTCATATTTGGGCTAGTTCTTCTAACGATACTCTTTCTCTTCTAGACAAAGCCAAAAAACACATTGTAAACGTAGTTGGACCTGCTCTATCTACCGAGCTTGATCCACTCTCCTATTGTTGTAAGGTTGCATCTCTTTCTCTTTTCTAGTAATACTACCATGGTCGCTCTCAAAAAAGTTATTATTTCTTGTTTAATCAACCAAAACTCATTCTCACTTGACTTGTCATTCAGCAGTCACATCCTTTTACTGTATCTGCCCCTGCATACTCTAAAAACTTTTGTTGATCTAGTTTTTTTCCTTGCATTTAAAATTTTTGGAACTCTCTCCTATCTTCATGTTTCCCTGACTCATACAACCTACAACTTTTCATGTCTTCTGTCAGCCGTTTCCTTGCTCATTAACTTTATTCTTTATTTTCCCAATAACAGTGGTTGCTTGCAACCTTGTTGGGAGTGAATTACCTATGCAGTAGTAGTGTAGTGGTAGAGCACTTGCTTCATAAAGATGTTTCAAGATGTTTTAAGTTCAATCTCCAGCACATCCCTGGTAGTACTGTGCTCAACTTGTTTCTCCTTGCAGTGGCCTTGTTCTTTAAGGCTGAAGCAAGCAAAATGAAAAAAATAAATTTAAAATTTTAAAATTTAGGTAAAAATAATAAATTACGAATCAAATAAATGTTGCAAGTGAACTTTTAGCCAATACAGTCATACCTCAGAACCCACCATAAATTAAAAACTGTGTATGGAAAAAAATCTGATCTATAACTCAGAGAAACTACTCACCTGGAACAAGTATTCCATCCTATGGCAACTTAGATTGTGTTTTGTGTATTGGTTTAAAAAGCAATTGGTGATTGAAATGGTTTTAATTAAAAATTAATGATAATGAAAACATAACCCAGTCAGGAAAGAGAAAAGATACAAAAAGCTTCTGATGTATGTAGATGTGCATGGATAAAAGTTTACTAGTCAAAGGTAGAATCAATTTAAAAGTGATTTGTAGACCAAAGTACTTTCATTTTGATTAAAATTCAATGTTTTTAATAAAATGGCAAGGTTATTATTGTGATCTTGCCTCAGAAAAATCAGATTTTTTTTAAAAAAGAAGATAGTATTTTTAAAAATACTATTTTTTTAATTTATATGAATAAATTAACAGCTCAAATGAGAAGAACTGTTAAAGTAAGCAAATGGGTCTAAAACCGAGTGGTAAATTTTTATAAATAACTATAACATATATCAGTTATATAATAGTTGTTTAAAAACAAACAAAAAAAACTCACTGAGACATAAATGCAATTTTTGTAGGAACTTTTTTAGCCAATCTGTGTGATATTTCTTTGCATACCTTTAAACCAAACCAATTGATCAATATTACACAAAAATAAAAAAAGAAGTATTGTAAAAAAATTTACCTAAATAAATTACATTATAATGGTTTGGCGCAGGTGTGATTAGCTTACAGCTCTTCCGCACCATGGTTGGAGGGTGAAAATTTCTAAAAGTTAAATCAATGCTATCTTCATTACTGCTACATCATGGTGTCAATAGCATTTTTAAACATGAAAATAAAACGAAACCTAAACTTTTCTAGTTAATTCATTTCATTAATTTATAATTAATAAAATAAAATAATGAAATTTTCATCATTTTATTATTTCATAATAGTTAGCCAAGGCGTAAAAAATGATCTATCATGAACAAATAATAGCGTACTTGCATAAAGAGTAATGCGTAAATAATGGGTCAAAATAAGACTAATAATTTTTTTTATTGCTTGCTTAAGAATTATAAAAGCATTTGTAGAGGCTGTTCAATTAATATGACACATTTTTTGTTGTTTTTAGATATCCCCCTTCTCTATTTTGACATTTTGCAACATTTTGTGGCATTTTGAAAAACCCAAGTATACTTTTCAATTAATTTGAAGATCTTTTTTTTTTTTAAATTGACCTCAAAATTTATTTTTGAGATCAATTTAAAAAGGTTAATTTAAAAAGACACACATGAGATCAGATAGTGGTTGAGCAACTAGAAAATGAGGTTTTACTTTTGAAATCTTATTAAATGATCCAACATATAAATAAACTGTTTTGCATTGTTTTACTTGATTTGATAGTGACAAAATATAGACAACTTATAGTACAAATTCTATTTAGTAAAATACTTTGAGTGCTTGAACATGAATATGGTAATCCTTTATGAGACATTGGAAATTCATTTTGAAAATTTTTTGTAACTATTGCAATAAAATTGTTTTACTAAGTGATAAGTTTAAAAAGAACGTTGTAATGTTTTTTTTTTTATTAATGCATTCAAGGCCATCTTCTCCTAGAAAAAATTAGTTGGTGAAGGAAGAAAACTATTTGGAATAACATAAAACTATGAGCTAGGATAATGACTACAGCAGTTTCGACCATGATATTTTACAATTTGAAGCAAATACTAACTTTCTCTAACATCCTACTCTGTTCTAAACTGCTTTAACTGTAAATATTTTTCAATGTTTAGTTCTTTGCACTCAACTTTGGTTTCAAATCCATAAATAACTGTGCTGGAATAAATTTGTGAAAAATTTCCAACTTGCCTTCTCTATGATTTGTTATTGCATTTATTTTTAAAATAAAGTTGTTCGTAAAATGATTAAGTGGAACATAATTTTTTTCTAGGTTATGGTTTAGCTAGCCATTCTTTTCTATACACTGTTAAAGACACTTTTGCTGGCAACATTGGTGGCCACAAACATTTTATCAATATCATGCTTGAATTGTTTGAATCAAGATCATGAATGAATTATTTTTTAAAATCTCAGATTTTCATCTGAACCATCACCAACAGTCATAACTGGTTAAAATCAGCTTTACTAACTCATTAGTAAATAAGCTTTTAAATGCAGAAAAAATGGTTGATTATGTTCATGTCTTTTAAGTGACTTCATACTGTTGATGAATCATATTTTGCACAAATGATTGCTATGCATGTAGTTTGTGACATTGTTTTTGTAAGAAAATTTTTTTGATTTTTATGGCTGCAATTACTAAAGGTATAGGTTTGTGTTGAGAAGCAATTACAAAATCATGATCAGCTAAAGTTAACATATGCATTATCATTGGTGTTTGTTTGTTTGCAAGGGGTCAATCCATTTGGAACAGTGGCTTTATTATTATGGAGGTAAAGTGTCACTTCTTAAAGATTAAAGGCTGCAGTAAATTCTTTTAAGGAAACTAATAGATGATGTGGCAGATTTGGAATGATATTTATACTCAAAATTTTGTGCTCTTATTAATATGAACAGGTGCAGTTTTAAGTAGAGGTGTACCGGATATTTTTGCCGGATATGCCTAATATTGAACTTTTCTAAACTTATATAAGTGTTTATGAAAAAAAAAACAAGTTTTGCCATTCTACATTAAATAGTGTTCAAAAATAAATATTTCTTTTTTTTAACTGATCTTGTTTTAAGGCTTGTTATATTAAAACTTTTGACAACCGGAGTTTTCTTGCAACTCATTTTCATTCCCTTCACTTCAACTGATGGGGTCATATTAAGCGCGTCATCAAAAGTGATGTTTTTGATGTATTATTGTTTATTAGTTTTTTCCATTAAGATAAAACACCAATTTTGAAGTTCATTTTTTTTTAGCTCTGGAAAAAAAGAAGAGAATAAAACAAAAAGAAAAACATTTTTGGGAAATGTTTTTGTTTTATTCTCAGAACAGATTTTAGTTGTTCCTTCTTAAGACTTTGTTTTTGCTTTGGTTTGTTTGCAAATACTTTTAAATATCCTTCATAAACAGATTTGTAAAGTTGTTCCTTTTCAATAAACATTTTTATTCTATAACAATAACAACAACAACAACAACAACAACAAAAACAATTTATTTTCCTTACAACTATTACATTAAAAAGAAGTATGTAATAAAAATTAAAAATAAGTATGTTGTAAAAACTATATTGGTAATAAGAATAAGAATACTAAAATTCATTATCATTGTAACTTAAGTAATTAGACCAATTCATTGCAATAGAGTGAGAAAAAATATTAAAAGTAACAATAATAACATTAAAAATAACATTGTAGCAAAACTAAAAACAAAGTATTTGATACTCTAGCAATCAAGAATAATATTATGTATTACATTTGAACATCTAAATTTCAGTAATTCAAATTTTTAGTCTATTATATGTAAAAATATATTGATCATTAAACAAATAAAATAAGAATTTCTTTTTATGCATGCAATTACCACAAGTAACTTGTTAATTACTTATTAGAGAGCATCCATAAAAGTTTAATGATAATCGCAGCATAAAAGAGCTTAATATCTCCTACTTCTTTTTTTAAAATATATTTTGTGTTGAATAATTTATGGACGATTCCTTATGGTGTAAATTTAGATTAACCTTTTCTGTTTAGATAAATCTTTTTAATCATTTATGATAAACTTATAAAAAACTAAATTAAGTTTTTAATTTTCATTTGCTATCAATCTGTTAAACAAAAAATGCTCAGCATTTGTGAAGTTGTTGCATATTATATTCAGGTCTTGGAATTAGAAAAAATAAATTTGGCAATTTAGTGCAGACTTTAAACTTTTTGGCAGACACAAAATTATTAACACAAAGGTTTCACCATAAAACTATAGAAACAAGGTCAGCAAAAAATAGCCAACCTCAGCCACTTTTAGATCAACAGTTAGTTCAGCATTGCTGAATGCAGACCGTAATTTAGAGGGCTGCATATTTCTCAAAAATTTAAACTAATTTATAAAAAAATTTGAATTGTAAATACTTTATGTCATGTCACACTGTAGCAAACCACCCCTTCCCTAATGTAATACTTGGTAATGTAATACTTGGTGTAATACTTGGTGTGTAATGTAATACTTGGTGTAATAATGTAATATTTGGTAATATAAAAATGTTTATATACTTGGTATAAATACTTGTATATGTAAAAATGTATATATACTTGGTATAAATACTTGGTAATGGAAAAATGTAATACTTGGTGACACTAATACCGATCTCCTCTTTCCTAATACTCATCTGCTCTTTCCTAAGCATAATTCCTCATGAATCACCCAAAACTTAAAAAATTATGAACCATGAGTCTTCATATTTACTTTAAACTTTCAAAATGTTCAATGGCTCTCAAATTTCAATTTTATTATCATCATGGTTTCCTAAAACAACCTGGTTTTCATAACATTTTGAAAAAGTTTTTTCATAAAATGAGAAATTTTTAAAAATAAATTATTATGCTTTTTTTTAATGCAGAAATTAATATATGTACTTAAAATGCTGAAATATGAAAAAAACATGTTTAAAATTAATAAAACAACTAGTTTATACAACCCAAATTTGGGGCCCAAAAGTTCAAATGTTTCAATTTTTTTTGCTTATAATATTTTCAGTTACTTATAACCTTACTTGTCACAAAAAAACTAATTTGAAAAACAACAGAACTATAATTTCAAAGATATATCAATTTTTTAAATAAAATATTAAAAAAACTTTCTAACAGAATTCTGATTAAGTATTAAATTTGGTTTATAGACTTTTTAGGAGAAAAAAAAAAAAAAACTATTTTATAATTAGGAAAGTCTTACATAAATAGAGGTAATTTTTCAAACACACTTTTTTATGATCTATTGGAATATTTTTATAATAAAATATATTTATATTTTAAAACAAATTTAGAAGTTTTTAAATAGTGTATGGAAAAATTTTGATATTAATTTCTTCAGTTGATAAAATTTGAAATTTTTTAATTTCAGTATATTATTTTCCATTTATCATAATAAATAAATATTTAATATTATTATAATTACATAAAAGCATTTTCATAACTATTTCAATATAATTAAAAAAAAAAAATTTAGCTTAAAAAAAATATTTATGCATATATATTACAATACAGTAAATAACTTTTTTGAGATGTCACTCACGTAACAAATGTTTTTTTAAAATAATTTCAGTTATAAGCAAAAAGTATTGAAAAAACAAAATAAAATAAAAATATTCATGGTATTGTAGTAAAATACCTAAAGAAAAATTAAAAAAGGTTTAGTCACACATAACGTAGTTTTATAGTTAATAAAATATATGTGTGACATTACACAGATAAGATCATTAAATTTAAAAAATCAGAAAATAAATAATTTATGTAGATTGAAACAAAATCATAAATGTTTAATATAAAAATTTTTTTTTGAATATAAATACCTTTAACATGATTATAGAATTGATAAAAATTACTTTTTTTAAAATTAATTTAATAAACTTTTATTTCTTTAATATATTCAACAAAAAAAACAAACACGTTGTGGTATTTTGAAAGTTATTTCAGTTTGACTTTGCTTGAAAAGATAAGTTATATAATTCTCAAATTATTGATTGTAAGGTCTGTAAATTTTAATAGTTTCCCGTTATAAGTTTAGGCTAATATATAATAACAATAAAAATGTCTTGAGCAGAGAATTTGAAAAACTTTAGAGGAAAATGAAAAGCTGACAAAGAATATTGTTCAATAAAAATGAAAAGAATTGAGAATCTGTGAAAAATGAAAGTTGTAAAGATAAACTGCACAGAAAAGGATTCATACAATGAAAAAACATGCAAACAAATAAGTAGACTAAAAATTAAAGGCCAACTAAATGAATCGACAGAATGATATTATACAGATAAAATATTTTTTGACAATATTTTTGAGAGAGTCTTACTCTATTTGTAGATCAACCTATGAAGACATAAAGCCTTTGTCTACAATTTGTAAGATAAGGCTAAAAAATATACTATTTTCAGAAGAAACACTCACAGACCAGTGCAAACTGCTTTGAACTTTTGCTTATTATTTAATGCAATCGGCATCAGCTATAATAGCTCATATTGGGTGTCTTCAATTTCAATCCAAAAATGGGTGCATAGGAGAAGTAATAGAGGAATTACTATCTATTTTATCTCAATTTCAGGAACACATTTGTATAAAAAGAGTTCAAGCAGCTAAATTTAAAAAAGACAATGGGATTGCAGAAGAAGAGGAGTGGCACATATTTGCGAATATCCAAATGAAGTACAAAGTGCGCTTTGAAGTAGAAACATTGTTCGTTCGTTTACTGGTGCAATTATTACAAACAACAATTATTGTAAAACACATCTTACCTGTTCAGACATTAGAGACAAGGGCAAAGATAGTGTTTACCACTTTATTGAGTAGTTATATGAGATGAGAAAATTCTGATAGAATTCTCTCATCTCATGAATGGGCTTTAGATACTCATATTTGAAAACTGTAATAATAATACTGAAACTATTTTTACCGATGGCCCATCATCAGAATTTAAAAATAAATTTATGTTAAAAGTACTCATTTAATTATTTTTGCAATAAAATAAAACGTTTGAGTGGAAATTTTTTGCAACTTTCCATGGAAAAAGGGGCTTTAGATGTGGTAATTCCAATAGTACGTTTTCATATAAATCTTGCTTGATAAGTAGATATAACTGGGATAGGGATTAGGTTTTTTGGCTTTTGTAGTGTAGTCCTGTTATACTGCAATATTGACTAGCATGACAGAGTGCAGGCGGTGAGATCTGTTGCAAGGACACGCCCCTGACGACTGGCGTTAGTGCAGGTCTCAGGCTCTCTGAAACGTCATTGGTGATCGCAATGCATTCCTGAGGAGGGGAATCACCATTTATCCACTACTTAATTCTAATTGGTTATTATGGCACCAACATTTTTTTACCTCTTACACCCATGAAGTTTTGCGCTTTGTGAGCTTTTTATTATGAATTGGTTACATTAACGACATTTATATATTTTAATGTTACACAGGTGATTATCAGTTCTCAATTTATTATCTAGAGTTCAGAACATATATAGTACCATATTTATTATTATTATTTTTTTAATATTGATCCACCTGTCCTTTGTTATCATTTTACTTACTATTTTGTTATCTACTTATTTTATTGGTTTTGTATGGTGCGATTATTTTAGTAATAGATACCATTAATAAACCAGCGGATTTATATTGACTTGTTTACTCATACATCATTGTTTTTGCTTAAGATGACTAGAGTGTGAGTTATGGTTCCTTTCCTCCCGAGTGGCTAACTCTTACTCCTCCTACTAAATAGTCTTTATATTAATTTGTGTTTTTTTACCTAAATGACATCATCTACAATCTGTTTTTATTTTCACATCTCCCAGGTCAACGTAACTGGACAGCCCCATTGGTCACTTTTTGGGATCTTTGTGTCGCATAAACAAAAAATTAATTTGTTGTGGCTGGTGATCCCCGACTTTTTCCAATGTACACCACAACAACAAAAGGGACATTAGGCTATCCCGCTGGATGTGGTTACGGCAATCAATAACCTAATGACTACGCTAACACTCACGCACACGTTCAGTTGTAAGCTCCACAATGCACGTCGGATCAGCACTCGCTGACTATTCACCCGATTTGAAAGTGAACGAAAACATAATGAGACCATACTAGATGACCAAATGGTACTTACTAATGCACTACACCATCACACCTGTAGACAATCAACATTCTCTAAAATCAGTATTTCAAATATTTGTTCTTTGTTACATATGATCTACACACAGAGTGACTAGAGTGTTAGTTGTTTCTCCTCTTGCCCCCCCTCCCCCAAGCATTTAACTTCGTTCTTCACCTTCACAAAAGTCTTACCACTCATTTGAAATTTTCTTATGATTTTTATTTTTTTATTCAACGACACCATCTACTAACTGTTTTTATTATCACATCTCCCAGGTCTACGTAACTGGACAGCTCCGTTGGTCACTTTTTGGATACATTGTGTCGCTAAACAAAAAATTATTTCAAATTTATTAAACTAATAAAATTTTCAGTGTCACAACAAAATTTGTCACACACATAACACATAAAGTTTTCAGTGTCACAACAAAATTTGTCACACATGTAACACGTAAAGTTTATCATTTATATTTATGAAGTTAATGAAATTTTGAAAAATAAGTTTTTTTTAATATACATTAACATGTTGTCTGCACCATAAAAAAAAACCATTTATCTAATCAGAACCAATTAGCAGAAAATTTTAATCAAATTTTAAATTTTTTTAAAATTTATAGTTTTGTATGAGTCACACACGTAACGCAACTAATCAGTTCTTATACTAATATGAGCAATAAACATATTATTAAGAGAAATATTATTTTATATCAGAAACATGTGCTACTATAATATTTGAAATATTTATCTTGCATATCTGTAGTAAACTATTTTTTATATCTCTTTTTTATTTGAAAATATTTGTACCAGAGTCACACATGTAACACAAGAATTGCCCCAATGGTTCATAGCACAGGATTGGAGATACAGTAAAAAGATATACAGCACAGGAAAGTTCAAAACAACCATACCAAAAAAGCTAAAATTTTACTGTGTTATTCCCAACATAAACATATTGAATAAACTATCTGTTCCACAAGCTTGCTCTAGTTTTGGTAGAAACTTTGAAAAATTGGAAACAGAAGAAGTCCAAGTAAAATGACAAAAATGTTGTGAACAATTACAAATACAGTCAAAGTAACTTAAACCTTCAATGCCTTAAAAAATCTTGTATATTTTTAAATATTTTTGAAAAGTTGTTTTTCCAATTAGACTTATGGTGTCATTTAAGGTTATAAGTAATTAAAAATATTATAGGCAACAAAAAAAAAATTTGAACTGAAGTAGTAAGATATTAAAAGTTAGGTCTTATAAACAAGTTGCGTTATTAACTTTTAAGTATATTTCCCTTCATATTTCACTTTAAATATTTATTTTTATGCTTTTGTCATTGTCATTCCTTATTTTATTAAGAGAATGTTGTTTTTTTAACATTGTGAAAATCGAGATTTTAATAATGACCTGGATTAGGAAACCAGATCAATATTAAAATTGACATATCTCATCAACTGCTCAACATTTTTAGTTGAAACTTTGCTTCAAGCGCAATGTTTTTTATAAATAGGAATCATGTGTAAAACATGAAACAAAAAGAAAGACTTAAATAGACTGGATGTTTTGATTTCAATGGACTTGGGTGTTCAATGGACTGGGTGATTTGATGCCGAATTACCATTAAGATTGACAAGTATTATATGACATGTTCCTTTTCTTGAAAAATAATACTAAATATATTTGCTTCATCATCAATTTTAGGCGGTGTCATTTGGAAAACATATTATTAAAAAAATTTTCTCACATTTTCAGAAGTATTGAGTAATGAATTTCTTTATTAACTTGCCTTTTTGCGCACTTGAATGTTCCTAAAATTTTTTGATTGGTTGTTCAGTCAAACAAAATTTTATTCTTCCAAAAATAAGCTATGATAACTTGAACTCATTTTTCAAAAGACAACACACCTGATAAAGATATTTTCAAAATTCATTCTTGGTAAAAGCTTGAAAAAAATATTGGGATTCAGATCACTAATTTAATTAGATAACTCCTGCATTCCTACTGAAGTTGTATAAAAAAAGAATAAAAAAGAATGAAATAATTAATAATTATAATTAATTAGAATGAAGCAATTAAATTATACTGTTGTAGCTGAAAAAGTTCAGCACAAGATGCTTAAACGCAAATGTATATATTCCGATGACTAAAATATCCAATCAGCAAAAATCTTTATATTTATTTAAAGTTACTGTTGCAAGAGGTTAATTTTTTTTTTTTTTTTTTGTGTGGTAATTCTTTATTCACTCTATCTAAATGCACCCTGAATATTTTATATAAGTTCTCATTGTTAACCTCTGAATAAAGTTGTAAAGCAGTATATATTCACAATTTGTATTTCTGATAAAAAAATAAAGATAAATGATATCTCTTATTAAAATTTTAGTTAGATTAAGGGCTGATAAATTTTTATAAAAACTTGTTATTCTTTTAAAATAATATAGATTTTAAAATTTATAATTATTTTAAAATTATTTATAACAACTTTAGAATAATAAACATGTTATGTTATTATTATTTGATGCAACAATAAAAAAATTCTATAAACCTGGTACATGAAGAAAAACTGTAACTAAAACTAACTTTTTGATCCAAATTATAATGACCTAAAAATTAATTAGCTGTCAATAATTAATGTAATTTTTAAAGGATGGAGAAAGTAAAACTTAAGTGGTAAGTATACCCTAAGATAAATTTAACTGGATTTAAGTAACTTTATAAACACAATAAAAAATTTAATGCAAAATTAAACTTACCAGGACCAACAGAAAGCAGGTTATTCCTAGGAACAGTAAATCGTTTTACCTTAAAATCATATTTAAAATTTTAAAAATAAATACAAGTGACTAATACAAGTTAATAAAACCAAGTAATTAAGGAAAATGCTTACTAACAAAAAAAAACAAGTTTAAATTAAATACAAATTATATCACTTTATGCTCTACAGCTAAAAAATAGTTGAACATTTTTTGCAGAACAAGGATAAGACTCATGGATACTCAAAAAGGTTCTGAGAGTTTTTTGAATGATATAATAAAAAAAAAATCATTTACTTTATTTAGTTGAATTCTAAGATATTCAAGAAATATTTGAAAATGAAGTTTAAAAATCCAACTATGCACAGTAGTTTAAATGGTGGACATGAGTAAAATATTTAATGTTTTGAAATTAAAATTTAACTTAATTTATGTATACTTAAATGGCATGCAGATCTAACTTAAAAAAAAAAGGTAAAATCTTTGTCTATTTAAAAAGTTATAGCAATGCAAAGTTGAACAATTTGGAAGAAAAAAAAAACACTAAAAACCAACCAAGTATACACTTGGAAAAAAGTAATGAAAAAGAAAAAGATTATTGATCTAAAACTTGGAAAATTATTATGTAACAATTAGGGATAAAAAGCCTCTATAAAACTTGGAAAATTATTATGTAACAATTAGGGATAAAAAGCCTCTATAAAACTTGGAAAATTATTATGTAACAATTAGGGATAAAAAGCCTCTATAAAACTTGGAAAATTATTATGTAACAATTAGGGATAAAAAGCCTCTATAAAACTTGGAAAATTATTATGTAACAATTAGGGATAAAAAGCCTCTATAAAACTTGGAAAATTATTATGTAACAATTAGGGATAAAAAGCCTCTACATAAAAATACATTTTTCTGGCTAATAATAATAGTATTTCAGGAAGAAAATTAGATAATTTTCACAAAAGTGATATAAAAAACTGTGAATTTTTGCAAATGATTTTTCTGTTGTTTTTGAACATTTCAGTCATTATCTCAAAAACCGCTTATGGTGCCATACTAAACCTTATATGATTTACAAACTAAAAAAAAAAAACTTTCATTTACTGCAATGCTTAAGTTGGCCCCATTAGCGGTTTTTAAAAAAAATGAGTTTCAAAACTGCTATTTCGAGGTTAAAGCGTAAGAATTTGGTTTTGGAAAATTGACTAATACACATGTATTACAAAAATAATTTATTTTAAACAAAAAGATTGTTTAAAATATCATCAGCTGATGCACTTTTGTGTATACATGAGTGTTTAGAATGCCCTCTATATAAACAGTTTTTGCAAAACAGATGCCCTTTGCTTTGTTTTTCTGCAACTAATGCGTCATTATCAAAGTCTTTTGAAGCCATCTTCTATATTAATTACACAATTGAACAATTAATTAATTTTTGATCAACGATATTGAACAATTGAATAACTTTTCCTGATTTTTCCCTAAAATAATCAAGACAATTATTATTAGCTTCCATTCCTTCTTCACTCCAAAATTTCAAACCAGTGGAATCATTTATTTCTATAAACTCCTAGCTTAGAGTAAGAATTTTGTGCAGCGCTTGAGTTATACTTACCCGATAAAGCTCTCATAGAAGCATCGATGACACATTTGTTTGTATAGCTCAATAATAATTTTTTTGCCAGATTACATTGCTTTCAGAATTGTAGAAAGAAGCAAGCCATACTTTTCAATTAGTTTGGGGTCTGTTTGACTTGATATGTGATCTGTAATTACCTTTCGCAGTACAATATTATTTAAAGGTTTTTTGGCAACATTTCCAGTTCTTGTATTCCCCCCTTGTACAGTGGATTCTTCAAAATCCCATTTTATTCCTGTTTATTCCTTTGTTAAATAAAGAATGAGATTGAATACTTTCATTTGACTCTTCCCTCTTTGAATCATCTATATAAGGTTTGCAACTAGAACAAGTCTAGTCACTAATAGAGCATATTTTGTCGTAACCAAACTAAACACAATTTGTGAATATTACAGTTCGCAGCTAGGGCAAAAATCAAGGTACAAAGATGTGGTTTCCAAAATATAAATACAAAAATAAATAGTTTGACATAAAATTTCATTTAATGTAAAAGTTTAGGCTTTTGCAATTGTATCTTTTATGAAATCATGCAATAATTAATAAATGCTAAGACATATACAATAATTTATAGTGCTTACATTGCACTATATTCATAATTTCCAAGTATAATTCATAGTTTTTAAGTATCAATTAGTTATTGTAAGATTTTTTTTAAAAATTTTTGTCAATAAAGCTTGATAATTTGGCTTAAAAACATGAACTATTACCAAATATAATTATCCTAAAATATTTTTACAGCTGGATCTTTATAGTGTCCTTTTTGGTGTCCTACTGTAATTAAATGATTTTTTTAATTCATGGAGCATAAAAAAATATTTCAAAGACATGTTGCAACCATGTAATTATTTTAGAAAAGTTAACAACTTTCCTTTTTAGTGTCTCTTTTTTGTGTTTTTCAGTATTGTTTTTTTGTGTCCTTGGTATATTTTATGATCTTGTGAATATTTTTGACGGATAGGTTTTATCTAATTGACATAAAAACATGTATTATGACTTTATATAAAAATCCTGAAATATTTTTTAGTTGCATGTTTTAAAGTATACTTTCAGAATCCTAAAGTGCAATCATAGTGATAGATGTGGGAGCATTTTTAATGGATAAAGCTTGAAATGTTACCCGAACAACATGAATTTTGATCATGTATGTAAGTATTTTGATACCTATCTGAAAAAAAGTTGCTACTGACAATCAAAGCAAATCAAAGAAAACATCATCAAAGAAATTAAAGAAAAATAAAAAAAATATTATCAAACTTTTGACGCAAAACCTCCAAAACCTCTTTTTGAAAATGAACAATTATTCTGGTTTGCCAAAGTATTCTTCAAATCATAACTTAAAGGACTTGGTCCATCACTCTAAATACAACAACAAAAAAATATTATTCTATTCTTGTAATGACATTAAAAACAGACTATATTATATTGTAAAATTTTTCTTAAAAACATTAAGAGAAATGTTAAACAATTAAAAAAATTCAGATCTTTATGTCATACCATAAAGATTATTTTAAAATACGAATGATTGATTAATATAGACATGCAGGTTTACAGTAAGAATTAATAAAAACATGTGGTTTAAAATAAAATTTAAACCACAATTTACAATTAGAATCAATGCAGGAGTTTGTAAATCAAAAAGAACAGAAGATTTATTAGATTTATAGGTTTCATTCATGATAATATGTCAAAAGTTTTCAGTTACTTAGAACTGGCAGAAAGATAAGTGGATGCAGTAATAAGTATGAAGTGTTTGTTGAAAAAAAATTATTTGATACAGCTGAGCACACAATCCTCCTGGACAAACTGCTGCACTAGGGTATTAGAGGTATTCCTCTTCTCTGGTTTTCTTCTTATCATTGTATTATAACACAATTTGTTTCAGTGAATGGTATCAACTTAGAACTAGCCAAATTAGGATCATTACTTTCTCGTATATTTATCAACGATTTCAATGTTTTAACAAAATTTTCTACTGCTTATTACTTTGCAGGTGACACCAACTTGCTTCTATTTAACTAATTGTTAATTATTAAATAGCTCAGCTCCAACTAGTTATCCCTTAGGGTCTGTCAATTAATTTTGTCCAAAAATTATGCCAACAATTTTTTGGCAATTTTCACCTCTCCCCCTCCTCCTTGTTAACAAATTGTCAAATTTTCAGAGACTTCCCTTATAAAATTATGTCAACATTTAATTCTACCTCCAAAATAAAATCAAGATGGAAAAATAACATACTTTTTTTTCTCATTTTAAGTAATTAAATTTGTTTAAAAAAGTAACACTCTTTACCAGCTTTTCTTGCCCCCCCTTGCCCTTGTCAGCAATTATTGAATAGGGAGGAGGGGGGTCAGAACATTTTTGAATGACAATTCAAAAATGTTCTGACCCTCCTCCTCCCTATTACTATGTTGACATAATTAATAAACAACCCCTTAACTTTCAAAATATTGAAACTAATAATAATTTTATTTAATATTTGTCAATTAATATTTAAACCTATTGAAACAAAAATAAGCAATTAAATTAAATAAAATTAAGTGGGCAGAAAACAAATCTTGTTAACTCTACTAAATATCTTAAAATCAAAATAGACTCATCTTTTACAAAGCCTTTTCAAGATTTAGTATTGAAAATAAGCAGATCAAATGGGATGTTATAAAAAAATTTGTCATTATGTTGATAATAAAACTTTGCTTAACATATATCCTGCTGTTTTCACTCTCATCTCAGATATGCTTGTTGTTAAAAAGTAAAGATAGCCTTTTATATCATTACTATTTTTATTTTTTTTTTACTTTTTAACAACAAGCATATTTTTTGAATTATTATTATGAGTTTTAATTAACTGACAGACAAGTTTAAAGACAATCTTTTGAACTCATTTTCAAAATTAATCTCTAAAATTAATTTATTTCTAACATACTAATTCATAACTCTATTTTTCATTCTATATTTCAAGTTCTCAAAACAACCTTATTTAACTATCAAACTGCCTCTTTGTTTGAAAACAAACCATACTAACCTTTCTCTCATTTTTATTAACTTTAGCAATTATAAGGAAAATTATAACTATATTCTATGATCTGCTTGGTTTGGTGTTTAGGTACTGATACCTTATAAGTTATCAGTAAGTTATCAGTTATCAGTACTGATAACTTATAAGTTATCAGTACCTAAACACCAAATTATTCATTATGAATCCATAAAAAATAAAGAATAAAAACATGGAAAATGAAAACATTTCCTTTCAAACTAAAATCTCTTAAATCATTCTCAAAATTTAAAATTGCTCTCTCTTCAACTATTTTTTAAAACAATATTTTTACTATAAATTTTTTTTTTAAACCTTATACCTTTCTACAACTTATTATTTTCAACATTAACTCTCAGGTTCTATATATCTAATACTGTTTTCTTTCTTGTTTAATATACTGTATTATAAAACTAATTCTTAAAACAAAATTTTTTCATTAATATGCTTTTCATCACTATTATTGTTATTATTGCTATATTTTTACTATAGAAATTAATTATTATAAAGCATATAATACTTTATTTTATTTGGTATTATAAAAGCTGTAAGAGTTACAACATTTGCTTTATTATGACTTTGAAGTGGCTGTAAACACTAATAAGCAATCACTTTGTTATCCAAATATAGTCTTGCAAACCTAGCCACCAGTATTCTTATAAAAAACACCTTAGTAAATTAAATTCTTATATAAATAAATGCATATATGGAAAAATAAAAAAGATATATATATATGTCTAACTTAACTAAGATAAGAAGTAAATAAAAAAAGCAACAATTAAGTTTTCAAATATAAAAAATACTAGTGCAACAAAGTTGTCAACATGTTTTTTCTGTATACCTGTGCACCTTTGTTATCATACTTATTTATTTTAAAATTATATACATGTATATATATATATATATATATATATATATATATATATATATATATATATATATATATATATATATATATATATATATATATATATATATATATATATATATATATATATATATATAGTGTTTGAAGTAGAGAAAAAAAAGTAATGGGATGGTAGTTGGTAAATTAAAAATTCCATCCCGCCTTATCATTGTTATATATAGAGATTTATAAAAAGGTGACGGGATGGCACCCTGCCTCACTTCGAGCACTGTATTTATGTATGTGTATATATAGATATATATATATGTATATATATAATATATATATATATATATATATATATATATATATATATATATATATATATATATATATATAAATAAATATATATATATATATATATATATAAATTAGTAGAAAATCACTTTACAAAATTTTTTTTCATTTTACACTGTTTCATCAATAATGTGCACAGTGGGCTAGGTGGTGGAAAAAACCTAAAAATAAATATTTATTATATTCAAAACCATATAATAAAACATATTTGTAATACTCTCATTTACTATTTTGAAAATTGTTTTGAGTATAATAGTATCTTTTAAAACCACAAAAATATTTTGCGGTTTCATAAATAATGAAAAGAAAATTAAAAAAAGTGTGAAATTTTTTTTATCCATAACTATAGTAAGCAGTAACTTTTAAAATTTTATGAGCTTAAGGAATTAGTTTATATATTTAAACTATTTAACAGTAAAGTTTTATGATAGAAATATTAAATAAAGATCAGCATTTATAATACACTTTTAATCTGATTTTAAAATAACGAGGTGAATTTTTAACGTTTAATACTTTTATTTTGTACAAAAAGTGTCACATAATTAAGGGAACCTATGAGAACCTATATTAAATACTTGAACTTGTAAAAGTAATACGTATACAACCTATTTTAACTATATACATTTCCCCTTACTTGTCCTTTTGGGTTTTTTTAACATTTTAAAATAATGACTTGTAATTTATGTTATTTGCTTGAAATTAATTTTATTTCTTGTAAACAAAATTACATATTATTTTGTTTGTTATTTAATTCAATACAAAATGTACTGTTCACCTAACAGTTTTTTTTTGTTTAGTAATATTATAAAAATTGGTGACATTTACGGACTTATAAAATAAAACAAACTAGTTCCTAATGAAAATTAACTCTTCTAGTTTCTGCAGATATCAAACTAGAGGATTCTGAGTGGAAAACTTAATAAAAGTATGATTTAAAATGTTGGTAGCTGCAAACAATGATAATACTCGTTTTGAGAAAAGTAACGAAAATTACCTAGCTCAAGATTTTCAATAAGCCAAGATTTTCAATAAGGTACACTAAATGCTACATCATCAGTTAATGAAATTGGGAAACCATGTTGCTCTTTTGAAAAAGCTTGTAACAGAACAAAAAGAATAAGCTTAACAATGTTACTAATGTTTTATTTAGCTCCAAATTACTTCATGCAACAAAATTGAAACTAAGAAGTGAGTTTAAATACGAAACTGACACATGAATTGCTGAAATTTGAAGCAAAAACCCCATTAAACCTGCCTAGATATATTCACCTAATCAAGTTTTAGCATTAATTAACAGTGGTGATATATCAAAATCAACATACCAGCTTCTAAGAAATGGTGCTGAAAAAAACAGCTGCCACATATATCCTTTATATAATGGTATAAGATCTTCAAAAGCTAAGTGCTATACCAAAAACATTCAAATAGATGGCTATCATTACAAATACTGCTAAAATACATCTAAAACGCTCTTTTAAAAAGCTGTGTGATATAAAAACTACTGTGCTAATCACAATGCTAAGGAATTAGCTAAACTGATAATTAGGATGCAAGGCTGGTTTAGATGGTGCTACAGGATATATTGTTTACAAACAGGTAAGTTAAAATGAAAATAGTGCTTGTTGATTATTTTCATAATACCTTTAGAACAAATAAAGAGTGCCTGTTGATTATTTGCATAATACCTTTAGAACTCAGTAGACTTTATGATAATAAAAATGTTGTCATATTATTCATCCAGAATGTGCGACCAATAGATTAAAAATACAAATAAAACATTATTATATACAGAGATGATAAATAATCTACAGACTTATTTAAAAGGCTGTGGACATATAATAATTCAATAATAGAGTTTCAAAACAAGTTTGTGCCATTTTTTTTTAAAATTTATTCCAGCAGAAAAGTTTGTTATTCAGTTCCACGATTTTAAGAAGTTAAAGGATTTAAAATAAAAAATTCATATTTTTAAAGTTTTATAAAGTTTATTAAATAATTTTTAGTATTAGCAACTATTTAACTAAAATTTATAATAAAAATAAATATATTTTAATTAAAATGTTTTAGTATATATTAAAAAAAAGTTCTAAATAATTTTGTCCACCATATGACTATTATCTGGCCCACTGTGCAATGTTAAATAATATATATATATATATATATATATATATATATATATATATATATATATATATATATATATATATATATATATATATATATATATACATATATATATGTATATATATATATATATATATATATATATATATATATATATATATATATATATATATATATATATATATATATATATATATATAATAAACATACTTGATTGTTCAAGAATCTTTTGCTTTTAGAGTTAAAAGCTAGTTTTTCATTGTTATTTTTGACAATTGTTTGGTATTTACTTGGAATCGATGCAACTGCTTCTGACATTTAAAATATTCATCGAAGTCTTTTACTTCTAAAACAAATGAATTATTATATAGCAACCTTTAAGTGGGAAAAATCATTAAAGCAAAGCTACATGCAACATAAAACAGAAAGTTATTCATTTAATGTATTAAAATAAAACTTTATAAAACAAAACTAAATTTAGCATTTTTATTCATTTTAACATTAAAAAATTAAAATTAAAACTGAGTGTCTAATACATCAACAGAGGGTAAAAATAAAGATTTTAAGTAAGGATTTAATCTTAAATCAAATTTTTATTGAAAATATATTTCTTGGTATTATATAATAATAATAATAATAATAATAATAATAATAATAATAATAATAATAATAATAATAATAATAATAATAATAGAATATATAATACAACAATGTAAACTCACTCCTCAATAAAATCTTTAAAAAACACGTCTTGGGAATGTCATATATAATAAAATAACTTTAAAATCTTTAAAGTTTAGATGTTTTCTGTAATTACTTTTTATTATTATTATTATGAATATTATTATTGTTGCTTTTATTGTTATTTTATTATTATTATTATTATTATTATTATTATTATTATTATTATTATTATTGTTATTACTCCTCTAAGAAACCTTTATCAACTTAGGTTGGCAAGATCCTTCTATTATTATTTATTTATTTTATTTTTATTTAATTATTTAGCAAATTAATGCTAGTTTAGTAACTTATACATATTATTTATAAGTTGATTATTCTTTAGAGTTTGAAGCAGTTTTTTTTTGAATTTTTCGTAGTCCAGCTGAACAAATCCACCAACTATTTCCTGGTATAATTTCAAACCAAACACAAATAATGACTTCTGTCCTGCTCTATTGCATTGGCTGCTTTTATGAAAATAACTAGCTTGTCTAGTGTAGTGTTGATGTAACTCGCTATTTTTTGAATAGAACGGTTTGAATATATCATTTACAGTCGATGTAATATTGTGAATGAAACAGACTGATTTAAAAATTATTCTTTTTTTACACTGATCCAACCAAGTAATTTCAACATTTCTATTTTATGAGTTAACCAGTGACATTTTAATATAATTCTCATTGCTTTGTTTTGAAGTTTTTCTAGGATATTTAAGTTATTTGTGTTGACATCAAGAAAAATAGAAGCACAGTATTCATAGTGGGGAGCAATTATAGTTTGAAAAATTATTTTTTTGGTCCAATGAGTTAAGTATTTACTTATTCTACCAAGATATCCAGTTTTCTTTGCAATTTTATTAGAGATATATTTGATATGTTCAGTAAAATTAAGTTGATATAAATACTGTACAAGTTTATACACTATATAAGTGACTCCAAACTGAAGTTCTTAAACAGTAAAAGAACTTCAGTTTGAAGCTACTCATATAGTTAAAAACTAGTAAAACAAAAGATACCTCAACAAAACAATATAACTTTAATTTCCATTTTGTTTTATTATATTCTTTATCAAAAATTAAAGATGTAATTACTTTATGCGTTCTACAAAGGTTTAAAGGGTGTAATTACGAAAAAAACAATTAAATTAACCGTTTTTTCGTTTTTTGATTATAAAATAATATTTACTATAACAATATGTGAAACCATATATTTAATATATAATATAATATTATATATTTAAGTTTATATTATATTATAAATGTATATATTATTTATTTTATATATATATATATATATATATATATATATATATATATATATATATATATATATATATATATATATATATATATATATAAATATATATATATATATATATATATATATATACTTTATTTACTGTTTTAATGCGTTATAAATGCAACATCGCATAGTTACCCAAAAACAAATGACATCATAGGCGCTAGAAAATAAGCAGACTACGCAAAAAATGGCAAAACTTTCCATATTTATATATTTATATACATATATATATATATATATATATATATATATATATATATATATATATATATATATATATATATATATATATATATATATATATATATATATATATATATATATATATATATATATATATATATATATATATATATATATATATATATATATATATATATATATATATATATATATATATATATATATGTATATATATATATATATATATATATATATATATATATATATATATATATATATATATATATATATATATATATATATATCATGGGCGTAGAGTACTCAAATTTTCAAGGGGGGCAAAATTTAAAGGCTCGATTTTTTTGAGCGATGTATGTCTACTTTCAAATGTTTATTATTTTTTATGTAGAAATAAATAAAAATAACTTTGGATTAAGAAATTAGAAAAAAACAAGTAGATATGAAATTTTACTTGGTTTCCAAATAAAACGTTCTACGGCGTGTTTCGTTTTTTTCAATAAACATAAATAAATCTAACAAAAAATGCGTTTCAGGGCTCCGGGTAATTTTTTTAAAGAAACATGGTCGATCAAAGAAAATGGTCGATCTTAAATACGGTTCTTTGGTGAGCCTCTGGTAAAAGCGATGAACTTTTGAACAAGTGACATGATATTTTTTATATCAGATATGTTTTTTATTTCATCTTGAACGATCAAATTTAGATTGTGAGCTCTGCAATGAACATAAAGGGGTCTGCTTTCTTGTTGAAGAACAAGTTTTTGCAAGCTAGCTATTTCAGAAGACATTTCAGAAGACAAGCAGGAGCTCCATCATAGCATTGTCCCCGACAGTTCTTAAGCCTTAAGTTGGAACGAAGACATTTTTCATAATCAAAAACAGATCCTTGCTTTTAGTTGTGGCTGTCTCATAAAATCCACAAAAATCCTCATTAATTTGGAACTCATCGTCTACAGTACGGAATGATATCGATACCTATACAAATTAAAAAATTATAAAATGTATTAAAGGAAAATACAAAGTTCAAAGAATTGTTGGTTTAGCTAATAATATCTGCTCTTTTCTTGTGTTATCAGGAAAAAAATCTGGTGTTCTCTTTGATAAAAGTTTCACATGAAAAAATTGAATTGAAATCTTGCGCAACAAAGTTTCAAAAAATTTTGGAATATTATACAAAGCCAGAAATTTTGTCAATAGAAATGCATTAATTCAATTTTTCTACTCGCTAATCCATTGCCATCCCAGTTAAATCAATTAAGGGAGAAGCAAATTTTACACGGTCATAACTATTTAAATATTCTCATTTGATGATTTTAACATTCTCAACGCTTTTCCGATGACAAAACTCTTATTTCAGTATTATGAGCATTATTTGAACATGTTAATTTAAAGAGCAGGGAATACATTTGTAGGTATATTTGACAAAAAATGTCAATGAATAAAGTCAAGTCTGTATCACTCGTATTTCAACCAAAAATACGTTTTTTGTTAAAACTAAGCATAAGTTTTAAAACGCTAAATTAACCAAATTAGTTTTATTGTTTATGCTGCATATAATTAGGATGTGCACTGATGAATTTGTTATGTAAATGAAGTTTAAGAAAAACAAATAACTTTTTTTATCAATTTGGTGAATGCTTATAATTTACAAAATTTCCAGTAAGAAAATTGTTGAATAACTGTTGCAACTGTTGTTATATATATTCTATTGTATATTTATATATGTATATCTGATTTAAAAATACAGAAAGTTCAAGATTAAAAAAAAAATGTTAAAAATATTTTCGGGCTTAGAGTAACATTGTTGGGTGTCGAACATATTTTTCTTAGACACAATATTCGATTGTCAGAAATTTTTAATAGTCTTCTATTAAAGTATGCTGAAAGGTTCTCTAGAAATTAAAGAACTTTTAAAATGGTCATCATTTTATACTTTTGGGTTTATTGGCCTTAGCAAGACCTTAGTTTTTATAAAAACTCTAAAATTTTGTTAAATAAGTAATAAAAGGCATCCTAAATAAATCGCTTAATCAATTAATTTAGAAACCTCCATAATTCGATTAAATCATCGTGAAATGTCACTGTAAAAAATTTTTATTATTCGAAAATCGCTCTAATTCGAACACTTATTTTCTTCCTATAAAGTTTGATTAAGAGAGATTGTAGCTATTTTCAAATCTAGTGTTTCTACATTCAAATTCTACATTCAAGTATTTGATATTCTTTGGTCAGACACAGGGCCGGCGCGAGTAGGGGTCACGTGGGGGGGGGGGGGGTGGTGCCATTACAACTTTTGCCATCCAAAAAAAAAAAAAAAAAAGGGCCTCGTTTTTTAAATTTTACCGACTGCCATAACGACATTTGCCGACTGACTTTGCCGACTAACCTATCAACAGGGTCTACATTTGCCGACTAACTAGTCAAAAAGGGTCACATTTGCCGACTAAGGGTCAAATTTGCCAATGATGAAGGGGGGGGGGGTGTAACACCCCCACACACCCCACACACCCCTATCGCGCCGGCCTTGGTCAGACATAAAAAGTATTTCTGTAATTCTCAAAATATCTTGGGGATTACGGAGATATTTCTGTCAAAATATTTTTGTAATCTCTTTTTCTACTTATCAAAAATAAACGTATCTATGGTGGATTTTTTGCAGTTTATTTTTATTTTAAAAGTATATAAGTTTGTAAAACAATGGTATAAAGTTGCAGAAGACTTAGTCTTGTCATCGAAAATTGCTGAAAATAAACCGTTAAAAAAAGAAAAAAATGTATCCAAACTGTCAATGAAAATAAAACTTTGAACAACATTCATCTGATTTCTTTCCAATTGGTTTAAGAAAATTTATTAATTTGTGAATTTTAGCAACACATTCTTCTGGTCGTTTTAGCTTCCTTTTTTCGCTGCACCACTGGTTTTGCTCAATCTCTTGTTCATGTTTTCGCTTTTAAAACGTTTAGAAAATAATAAGATGTAATAGTACAGAATATCAAAACTTTGAAGTGGCTTCCAGAATGACTTTTTAAATCTTTGGAGTGGCTTCCCATGGCGGACGCTTTTTTTGTCAACGGAAAGATTAGAAAAAAAAAAAAAAAAAGCGGTTTTAAAAGTTTTTAAAGGTAAAAAAAAAA